GGCGCCAATATTCAATTTCATACAAGTTTTGACCGGTCAACATATTTCATACAAGTCCCAATAGGACTAAGGGGGACCCCCCACCGCGATAACGTCATCCTTCTCGAATGTACAAGTCTCACCAGGATTTACGGGAAACCCCCATCTCGTACATCGATGAGTTATCAGTCTGAGAGACTCACCGATATCATTCATCTTGAAAATATTCGACCATTGTTTTCACATATTTGCACGTGTTTGCATATGTTTGTAAATGTTCGAAAATATTGTCAAATATTTGCAAATGTTTCCAAATGTTTGCAGAATGTTTGCAAATATTGTCAAATGTTTGCAATTGTTTCCAAATGTTTCCACATGTTGTCAAATGTTTGCAGAATGTTTGCAGCATGTTGTCAAATGTTTGCAGAATGTTTGCAGCATGTTTGCAAATGTTTGCAGAATGTTTGCAAATGTTGTCAAATGTTTGCAAATGTTTGCAAAATGTTTGCAAATGTTGTCAAATGTTTGCAAATCTTTGCAGAATGTTCGCAGAATGTTTTCAAATGTCAAATGTTTGAAAATATTGCCAAATGTTTGCAATGTTGTCAAATGTTTGCAAAATCTTTGCAGAATGTTCGCAAATGTTTACAAAATGTTTGCAAATGTTGTTAAATATTTGCACATATTTAGGACTTACGAGGAGTCCCCCCACCGTGCAAGTAAATGAGTCATCAGCCCGAGTGACTCGTCGATGACGTCATTCATCTCGACATTTCAGCAATTGTGGCGGCAATATGCCATTTTATCCATGTTTCCACAGGTTTTCATAGTTTTATATTTCATACAAGTCCCACCAGGACGGTTCCCCTACCATGCGAGTCGATGACTCATCGATGACATCATCCGTCTCGAACCTTCCGCGACGGTGGCGCCAATATCCGATTTCATGTAAGTTTCAACAGCTCATTATATTTCATACAAATCCCAACAGGTCTTAGATGGATTCCGCACCACGCGAGTCGATGACTCATCGATAACGTCATCCTTCTCGAACGTTCCACGACTGTGGCGCCAATATCCGATTTCATGCGAGTTTCAACAGATCATTATATTTCATACAAGTCTCAACAGGTCTTAGAGGGATTCCTCCACCACGCGAGTCGATGAGTCATCGATGACGTCATCCTTCTCGAACGTTCCTCGACGGTAGCGCCCCCATTCCAGAACCTTCCACGACTGTGGCGCCCCTGGTGGCGGTTGGGTGAAGTAGTATCCAGAACCCGCTGAGCTTACCTCTCACTTCACTCTCGCTTCTTTATAAATGGCGAGAACTCGAGGGATAGCGCAGCGAAGGTTCGCGCTCCGATCTCGCCTTTCTATAAATGACGAGAGCTCGAGCGATAGCACAGCGAAGGGTTTCGCTCCACTCTCGCTTCTCCATAAATGGCGAGAGCTTATGTGATAGCACAGCAAAGGGTCTCGCTCCGCTCTCACCCCTCTATAAATGGCGAGAGCTGGGACGATAGCACAGTGAAGGCTCCCCGAGTAGAAATTTCGTCGGGAACCCCCAATGTGCATTGGGAACCTGTGAGTTTGTTGCGGGTTACTGACTTATAGGTTGTACCTGTTATATACGAAAGTATTCGGGCGAATTATTCATTTCAATTCTGAAGCAAATGAATAATTCCTCGTAATATTTTCGCTACTCGTTGGAGACCGGATGGGTGAGGATAGTGAGTGAGGGCGTAAGCAAATTCTTCACACTCACACTTACTGGCTTCGCTCACCGATCTGCACGTCTGCTCTAGATGCTAATCTCAGCACCTCGGTGACGATGTTCGGATCAAGGGGACACACCCGATGTTCAGCAGTCGCGGCCGAACCGTGCGGTAAACCGAGTATATTGTGCACGGGGTTCTTACAGAAAATAATAATTTATCTTGCTAAATAAATCACGACAATTACGCACAACCTCGTAGTCGGGTGTTCGAGCATATTATACCCTAGTGGTCAATGATTGGTCTCATTAGAATCACAAGGATCCATGAGGAAATTCGATCTTACGCAGGAATCTGTAAGTCGTAGGCGTCGCATTTCCGAAATAAATAGCGAATAGAAGCTGACGTCCGTCAGTTCCTACCATACCTGATGTGTAAACCGTAGGTCCAAATGCAACAATACTCGCAGGGACGATTATTGTCTGTCACCGATGAGTTTACCACCCATCACTAACTCACGTAGTTCAACCTGTTTGTAACTTATTTGACCCTTATAAGGTGTTAAAGGCATTCAATTATCCAAGTCCAGCTGGGCATAACTGGTTGAGAACTCATCAGTACCCTAAATAAGGGTCAAAATCAACAGTCAACAATGAAGGGCAAGAATAACGGTCAGAAATAAGGGTCTGGGAATTTTTTAATGAATTTTAACCAAAATAAGCAGAGAGCCGAGCCTTTTTGTCAGAAGGCATATGACTGTTACTTCATCCGTTATTTCTCTTTTTCATTTTATATTTCTACCAATTCCATTGGTAGCAAACTTCCAAATAGATCCATAGAAATTTTAGTTTTTAATTGAAAAGTGGCAATGTTTATTGAAAATATTTCCACGAAATGTTTGACCTTCTAAAATGGAAAATTAACCCCATAACCTCATTGACCACGACTCCATGATTCTCCTAATTGACCTCATTTTTAGGAAATGTTTCTGTGTGAAAATCAATAATAGAATCATGATATGTCTTTTTATGCAAACACGTTTTTCACATCAACTGCTCTATTTCAAAAAGTATTGAATGCAGCAATCTGAAATTTTCCATGTGAGTGCAACTCGATGATACTAACTAGTTCTCAATATTTAGGAACTTTACCATATACTTCACTCATGTAATGGAACATCAAAGCAACTTTCAGACAAGAAAAATAGAAAAATGCAAATATCTCGTAAACTTTGTGGGAACGGGTATATATATATATTTGGAAAGAACTAGTTAGGAGACATCAAGATGAAGATTTTGACAAAAAACTTGACATCGAATGAATAATTTTTGAGATATTGAACAATATGGTTATATACAAAAAATAGAATATCGTTAAACCCACTCATTCGATTTCGCTCATCGCAAATCCCAGCCTGTCATATATTAAGACGTAGAATCCTACGAAATTTCTACTTCCTATCTCAATTTTTTCTAGTGTTATCGTATTCACATCAATTTTATCACAAAAATGAAAAATGCCAATTCATGGGCGACTCACAATACTAAGCGAGCCACCCAGCCATCCAGTAATTAACATTTCCATTTTTAATGGAGATTCCTTATTTTTGGGATACAATTGATGTGAACATGATAACGCTTGAAAAAATTGAGATAGGAAGTTGAAATTTGGTAGAATTCTAGCTCTTACTATATTACAGGCTGGGATTTAAGATGAGCAAAATCGAATGAGTAGTGATAAAAATATTCAATTTTTTTGCATAGAACCATATTGTTCACTATCTGGAAAACTATTCATCTAATTTCAATCTTTTTTTCAAAATATTCGTCTTCATGTCTCCTATCTAGTTCTTCCAAAATATATATACCCATTCCTAGAAAGTTTTGGAAATGTTGACATTTTTCTATTTTTTAAAAATTAAGCTGTTGATGCAAAAAACGCTTTTCGTATAAAATGCCATATTGTTGTTCTATCATTGATTTTCACATAGACGCATTTTTTAAAAATGGGATATGCCTATCCCACTGGATCAAACAGAAATTGAATTCTCAATTTTAGAATCAAAGAAAAAATCTTTTTTTTTTTTTTCAATTGAAAAATCAAATTTCTACGGATCCATTCGGAAAGTTACTACCAATAGAATTGGTAGAAATAAAAAAATGAAAAAGACGAATAACCCATCAAATAATGGTCACGTGCCTTGTGACAGAAAGGCTCGGCCTCCTGCTTGTTTTCACAGGTTTCTCTCTATATAATAAAAAATAAGAGGGAAAATTCAGGGGACCCAAAAATTCAGGCGACGCTTGATATAAGGGTCAGGAATGAGGGTCAGGGACAAGGGTCAGGTATAAGGGTCAGGGACAAGGGTCAGGTATAAGGGTCAGGGGCAAGGGTCAGACATAATGGTCAGGAGCAAGGATCAGGCATAAGGGTCAAGAACAAGGGTCAGGGACAAGGGTCAGATATAAAGGTTATGGGGTTATAAGAGTCATAAATGACATGGGGATGTAAGGTTCATAAGGGTTATGGGGATATTAAGGGTACCTTGGGATATTAAGGGTCAAAACAAGTGTCACGCTAAGGGTCATAAGGGTTATAAGGATTAAAATAATGGTCACAAATAGTAACCCTTAGGGTCATATTGTGCCTCACTGGACAAACGTTGGATGGGGCCTGATCCCCTTCCCTTTAGGGGGGGAGAAATACATGCAGAAACAGAAATTTTGAGTGGTTTGAGTAGATTATTCTATTTGATGGCCAATGAATGTATTTCACAATAGAATTTCAACAATGCAAGTATTGAACAAACCCCCATGGTTATACCCGCATAGCCACACAGGAGGGGGGGGGGGAGAGAGCGAAGCGAGCGGGGGGGGGGCGAAGCCCCC